TACATTTTTTCGAGGTTATCTTGTCTCTTCAGTTTCTGTATTTAAAAAGAAAAGATATATATATATATATATATGAATGACTATATTAAGTTATAATTCTAAAGCAAAAAGTTTTGTCGTTTAAAAAAGTGTAGTTCATACAGAGAAAGAAATGGAGTTTGTCTTCCCTACGCCTACAATCTTTAGTGTGAAATTATGACAGTGTCCTGCTAATTGGCTAATAAGTATAACGCAACTGTCCAGCATGTGGTACTTCTCATCAGTTGAATGCAGGTATGCTAATTTATACTTAATGGCTAGACTGCAGGTTCAATTTCTGACTCAACTGTTTTATTCTGCTTTCAGTTATATATTTCTGATACTCACTTTTTTTGGGGGAAGAGCAGATTGTTTTCATTGGGATAAAACAAATTCTTACAAATTAGGCTTCTATTCTGAGATTCAAGAAGGAAAAACTTCCTGTACTTGGGTTTTTTTTTCTAAATACTTGAGTGCTATCATAGTTGCTCTTATTTCCTTAGCAGATTTACTCCCACTTGAAACAGTGATGTCAGGTTTAAATTAGCAAGTTGGAGAAAATAGTAATGAAGCTTATTTGGTGCACACTAATGCTATGTCCAATGTGGGCTTAAGGATGCATAGTTAAAACTTGAGCTCAAGGAACATTAACATGTATTGAAGGGCTGGAAACTGAGGTGGAGACCACTTTGCATAACCTGGACCACTCGCTTTTTCAAAAGGCAAAACTTGCACCCTTTCTGTTGTACCCACTTGCATCCACTACTGGGTCTTTGCTGTTGGAATGGCTTTGGCAGTGTCTCCAGTGCCACTGTCCCAGCAGAAGGGATAGTTTTGCTTTTGGTTTTTTTGTGGTGTTTTGTCCTGCCAATGTGGTCATGTTGCTGACAAGCTGGGAGAAAGCCAGGGTTCTGTGTGCTGACAGGAGCCGTGCCACGCCATAGCGATGCTACTGAAGGGGAGAGCATACGTCAGTGCCAGGAGGTTTGCAGTGCACGCTTCCACCTTGCTGGCACAGGGATGCCTCCAGCTGCTCTCTCTGCCAGTGTGGTTCTGCCACTCGGCCATTTTGCCAGCATTGTTGCAGCTAAGAGTTTTGGAAAGGACGTTACCACCACGCCAACAAAGCTACCCTAAACTGTTGACTCCTGCCAGTGTCGGAGGAGCCTGTGAAGCCATGCACGGTTCCACTCCTCCGTGTGGCAGGGTGGTCTGTGCGGCACTGACAAATGAATCCCGGTTAAAACCAGTCTGCTTTTGAGGTTAGCGTTACCAGCTCACCAGGCCTGGTGTGGCTCATGGCGTGGCAAGCACAGAAGCCTGCAGAGGAGAGGAGGAGGACCATGGTGGGCAGCATGGCATGCGCCCTTCGGAAAGCTGTTATTCCCTGATCAGCACAGTAATCCCATTGAGGCATCACTCTTCCTCCCAGCTTCCAAAAACCCTAGGACCTGTTTTGCCAGCTTGTGTTATATATAAAAGAAGTCTTGTGTCCTCTCTTTGTGACAGCAGGTGGGGCTGGGGTGGGTTTGCTCTAGCAGGGTGGGATAGTTTTAAAAACATTCTGTGTTACAAAACAAGGTTTGTAAACGCGTGCTTGTTCGTGAGGAAACCCATCAAATAATGCATGTTCATGGTAGGCTATAGGGCATCTAGGCTCTCCTAAAATTATACTTCCCAGTATGTTGTCTGTTTCATAGTTGTTACTATCATTACTACTAATTGTAAAAAAAATCTCTAGACATGTGAACTCAAGGCACTTGCAAGTAGTTTCCTTCACATAAATCTTTCTTTCATTGATTGTGTGTTGTTTTTTCATCATTTCTCATTGTTAGGATGTTCCTGCATCAGTAGGTTCAACTGCTTCAACAGAATTCCCGTGTAGGTGCTATTCCCATGCACCTCTGCCAAACAGCATTGTTTGTGTCCTGAAAGGTCTAATACAGAGGGACAGTGCTGTTACCCTCTCATCACTCACTGGATCTCCCAGTGCGGTACTTCTGTGTGTTTCATGATCTGTTCCTATTCCCTTTTGATGCGAAGTCCTGCTGATGTGGATTCCTGTTAGTGAGGGATGTGGAGCTCGGACACTATCTTCTTGCTGTTCAGATCATTATCTGTGGAATTGCAACAGGGGAAGCCCGAATGACCTCAGCAGGTACTTCAGTGCAAAACTGGAGTCATCCTTGGAGTGCAACAGAAGTGGAATACACACAGAAAGAAATCAAAGGACTTGCTGTAATACAAATAATAATTCCACATAAGCTCAAGTCTCCCGTTCTTTCTTTTATTTAGAAGTTCCAGAATAAGAAAGTGTTAAAACTTATCAAATAAGGCTTTTTGTAGCCTGTTTTGGTTTCATTTGTTTAAAGATGAATTTAAGAATTTTAAGACTTCTCATATGTTTTCCCCTGACAGATTATCTGTAAAGCTTGCTCAGGTCGTACAAAGACCACAGTTGTGCATTTTACTGTTTAGGGAGATGGTAAGAGCAAGTGTGAGAGGGGAGCGTATGTGAAGTGGCATAGGCCGAAACGTAAGCTTTCTATCTTAGCTGCATTATTTACAAAATGCTGCTTTCGTAGAGTGTGATGAAGTATGGAAGTTCTGGAGTTATCTTCTACCCATCCATGTACATACATGTAGATAAAAATATATAAATGTATGTATACATCCCCAACTATCTCCCATTGAGAGCTCCTTGATGTCCTTTTCTTAGGAGTCAAACAAAAGCCATCCTAAAGGAAAAACCAATCAAATGCTTTTGGATACATCTGTTTTAAGCTTTATTGGTTTATCAAGTTTAATCCTGAAATATGATCATGTGTATGGGGGGTGGGTTTTAACAAACACTTGTTCGTGTTTGTAGATCCAATTACTCGAAAGGCTATTATCTTTTCTGGTTAAAAAATACGGTTAAAAAATATAGTTTCAACCCTTTTTTTTATTCACAACCAATTCACATATGCTTCATGTAGTGTAGAAAGTCACAATGTATGCCTTTAACTGAAGTGATGCACTGGGTACTTGCACTTCCTCTGTTGTCTCCGCCCTGTGTAAATAAAACCTCCATAGAGTGGTAAAGAGCACTTTGGTATCTAGTTTCATCCTTTCAGAGGGCGTTTAAGTTAGGTACAACTCAAAATATCTGATTACCCCCTCCTTTGCAAACTGCAGTTTGGCAGGTGGATGATTGGAAGCATTTGCAGTCTCTCAGAAGTGTTTGGATTTCTCTTTTGTTCCCAAATGCTAGAAACTGCAAAGTAGGTTTGTGGCAAGATTTCAAGGGAAAAAAAAAGAAAAAATAGTGCCATTATGAATAAATTGATTGCTTGACTTTGTAATGACTCATGATCCTTCATAGTTGCAAATTATCTTTGTGATGTCTTACTGTTTGTTCTGAAAATGCATAAAATCATTTTCTGAAAATATATTCTGTGTAACTTTTTTGTGGTGTTGGAAAAAATACTGTGAATGAAATCATTATGAGGACAATTTTTTGCCTGATCTACCAAGTCTTTCACTGCAGGAAATAATATTCTAACAATGTGTGTCTTATGATATGGTCAGAATTTTGTATTCATTTACAGGGAAAAAAGTGTGTAGAATTTTGTGTTCGTTTACACGGGAAGTGTAGACCAACTTGAATAATTGGCAAATTTAATGCAGATTTGAATACAAAAGCTATCATGTGTTCAGTCTATATAGAACTTGAAAAATGTCTTAGGTGGCAACTTTAATGAACTCGCACCAAATTTTTCAAGTTGTAGCATTCTTAACTAGATTTAATATTTACAAAGTGTGACAGTAGAGCGGGTCAGTAAAGGACTGACAGCTTAATCCAGTTGAGCATTCCCTTGCGAGCACTGAATTACTGGAACTCGTGAGACCTGAAACAGGTTACTCTGGGGACCTTTTATTTTTTTTTTGTTTGTTTTGTTTTTTAAAAGAGCTAGACACAGTAGTGAAATTCAGATTAAGTATCTTCTTATACTTCACACTTAGGTTGAATGCATTCAGAGGTGTCTTGGACACCGACCTCTTTCATAAACGTAACAGAAGCATGCCGGCTGCTGCTCAGACATTCAGAATGATTATTAATGGATTCCCTCTGAGTGATGTGTACAATCTGTAGTGTCAAATGAGGTAGGAATATTACCTGGTAGTGTGTCTGTGGATCTCCACTCCAAGTCTAGTAAAGAAAATACTTTCAACCAAACAGTGATACGTATTCCCAAATGTAGAAAGCATTAAGCAACACTCTTCCGTGCTAATGTCTCTTTTTTCCCTTGAGCTTTCCACTCCAAAGGCAAGGCATTTTTCATAATGGCTTCTTTAAGCTAAATATAGAACGATGTTTAAACTTCCCCCAAATAAAAACAAAAAACTTAGCTAAACTGGGCATGTATGGAGAAGTAGCCCTAGGGATAAAGTGGACATTTGGACAAAATGAGACAGGTTATTTCTGTACTTGGCGTTTTCTGGAAGGTGCTTTGAGTATTTTAAGCGGTAAATATAGCATCAGAGTCTCTGCGAAACAGAACTTAATATTTAATAAATGTTAGTATCTTCGTAGCTAGTAGTTAAAACCATGTGAGAATGCAAATAGTTTAAATTGTGGTGCTGTTATACATTTTGTTTATAAAGCTGGTGCATAGACTTTCCGAATGATAAGTGTTATCTTTCAAATGCAGATGAACACTCTCTCTGCACTTCATGAAAATTAAGAGCTATTGAACTCCGTCAGAGAGGAATTTGAAAATACACCGTGCATTTTATTAGCGCTAAAAATTGTTGCGGTGCTAAATACGGTGTCTTCTGCAAGTGCGGAGTTTAGCGTGCATTGGTTAATATATAGGCTTGTTGTTGTTTGGTCTTCTTATCAGTCCGTACAGTTAGTCGTCTTTAAAATCTGCCTTGGAGCAGCTGGCAGCTGACGTGCTGGGCTTGGCACCACCCAGGTCCAACGTGATAGCGCCAGGAGAAGTCTACCTCGGTGCTCAAGGAAGTGGATGTGGGAGCCACGCTCTGTAACGTGCAGCTAAACTGCTGAATTTAGTAAATGCTCAGAACGCGGAGGGTGTGTAAAAAATGGAATTCCTGAAAAAAATTGTTCCCACTGTCGCTTCTGGAGAGGTAGTTCTGGATGCTGGGAGTACTGCCCGTGAAAGCTCCCCAAGGCTACTGAAGATGAGACGTGTCAGACTGTTTTCATTAGGACAGACAATAGATGAAGATGAGGAGACACATGTTTTACATCCTGATTACAGTATGTATCCATGTCACCAACCTGGTAAAAACCGATTACTAAGCTTTTTCTTCAGATCATGATTATTTTGCTAAATTGGCAAATTTGATTGTAAAAGGCCTTTTAATCAGTGTCGCTATGATAATGGTGTCTTTAGTTTTAGAACTATTTTATCATTGAGACACCATCATGTGTTAGTGACCTATTTGAAAGCAATTTTACAGGATTTCTAGTGTGCTCCTTGTCTTTGCATGCCTGTGTGACTTTTTTCCCTTTTTTGGGATAAGTATCCCTATTTAAGTTTTTAAATTGTAACATAGCTATGATTAGACACTAAGAGTTGTCTCGACAGACGTATGCTGCACAAAGCTCTGACTGCAGTGCAGGGTTCAAGTTTTGTGTCATCTTTTCTCTCCCTGTTTTTCAAATCCCCTAAGATTTCAAAGGCTTTCCTTTTAAGAGTTTTTTCATTTCAAACGCGTTTCTGTGTTCCTTTTTTAGTGTTTGGAAGATTGCGGATTTTTTTTTGTAAACATAATTTAAAGAAGTAAAGTAAAAATATGGACATTGTATAGAGAATTTTTAACAAGAACATGGGTTTTCTTGCTTGTATGAAGATTTTTTTGGGGTTTTTTTTTTTTTTTTTACTACCTGATAGTGTCTAAATATTACAGGACATTGTGCTAATAAAAAGAAGTAGAATGAGTTAATGTTCCTTTTTCAGCAGTTCAGATGGGTGGTGATGGAAAATCCACTTTTACTTTTTTTTTTTTTCTTTTTGCCTTCAGCTAAAATAGTAAGGTCTTGAGCCTTTATGGTCTTGGATCCTGATGGTTATCAGATGCAGGGTTTTTACCCTTTGCTATGTGGTAGCTATTTTCAGGAGTTAGTGTGGCCTTGAAATTTTTTCCCTTATGTGTCTAACTGCAAAGATGTGAGATGGTGACATCCATCTTATTGCGTAGTGAACTTACAGCCTTAACTATGGAGTTAAGTTTGTGGTGGTGGTGGGAGAAAGGGGTTTACTTGGAAAGACTTCTCTTAGTCTTTCTGATTGTAATATAAACCACGTTTTTTTAATGTGTCAGACTGCGTAGCGGCAGCTGGGGAAAGCAGGGACAGTTCTGTTTTGTTAAACTAATTGTTCCTTTGTATAACAAATCAGGACAAGTTAATGTTGTAATGGTAGGGACTATTGAAGACTTCTTACAGAAGGTCTGTTAAGGCTGTTATTGCCCGTATGCTTGAAAAGTGATCAGAAGCTCATGGTGTCTGAAAGGGTGATGCTCTTTTAGCCAGGTTCATGTCCTCATGTAACTTTGAATGCTGTAGAGCCGTGAATTTTATAGTTGGATGTCACTGTGATGTGCACAGCTTAAATGTCTCCACAGGCGTATCTCATCAATTTTGCTTTTATGCTGTATTATTGTTTCTTTATAGCTCTCACTTTTAAATAATACTTTATTTCAAACGTTATAATTCCAGAATAAATAGAATTGTCTTTGTGCCAGGTTAAAAGAAAACGCTATAAGCTGGTTTGTAAACCAAAGAGATGCCTTCATGTAACCTTGTTCAATGTTTTGTCAATAGTTTGAGCAGATGAGGATAATAAGCATAGAATACACCAGTCCTACTGTTGAAGATGAATTCTTCTTTCCTGCTCATTAGATATTTGCCAAATGGTGATTATTAGGAATGATTTTGTGGAAATCAGTAGTGCCTGACTAATATCACTTAATAGTGTGATGTCGTCATTTGCGAAATGCAGACTTATAGCCTGTTCTGGGATCATGCTTTTACAATAGCAGATAGTAGCTGAATCCTCTTTAAATTATCTGCTTATTTCTATTTTTGTATCTTGTTAATGGAATGAACTGCTCTGCTGGAATAGAGCAAAAGAACTACTGTGTTTACCGGTTGGGTATGCTGCAGAAGGCAGGTGCCGACAAAACAGGTAATAAAACAATAGAATGATTTGGAAAAAAAAATTGTAAATGTTTACTTGCTTAATGTCATCAGATGTGTTAATGCGCCACCAAATTTAATGCAATGAAGCTGTTCAGGAACTCAGTAGGCTTTAAAGCTAAGGTAGTTTGTCCTGTAGATATGTTTGAATTTGAAAGTGGGTGGGTTGGGTTTTTTTTATTTTCTATTTCCTTTCTGTTCCTTATTGCTGCTGTTTACTCACACTTTTGTATTAATAAGAGTGTAGGTGAAATGCAATGATTTTAAAGTATAAAAGTATTTTAGAAGGTCTTAAACAAACCAACCAACCAAACAGAAAACCTATTCCTAGTATCCAAAGCATAAAAGTATTATTTTGATAATACCACTTAGTTGGGTTTGCCTATATCTGACCTAAATATTTTGTGTTGAATTCAAGTGATGAGATTCTTTTAAAATACGTAGCTTAGAATGCATCTTTTAAAAAGCGTAGCTTCTATCAGAATGGTTTCAAGTGTATTTTAGAAATCTTTCATAACTGTCTTTTTAGATTTATAAGATTGTTAGAACTCTAGGAAAAAAATCTCACTGAAGTATTTGCATATGATTGTATGCATCACGGCACTTAATGGATATTAGTTAAAGAATAGGCAGTTCTTTTGAATTTGCTGTAGCATTTAAGAGCTGACATGTTCTCTGTTTTAAAAACTGCTGTCTCAAAAAAGCTACAATCCAAATCAAACATAGAAAGATGAGCTTGGAAGATCTGGAGAAAGTATTTTCATGTACCAAAACCCGCATACAAGTGTGTACATATACAGACACATCTATAAACTATTTCATATTCTCTCTTTTTGCTGTTTGTAGCATTAAAGGAGGGGAATGCCGTGACTGCTCTGTGCAAACTGGCAACTGGCAGCTGTACCTGGGGTGCGTGAAATGTGCCCGTCTGCTGCCGGCCTGTGCTTCTGTTGTGTTGTAAGGCAGGGTAGCTGTGCAACAGTCTTAATGGCCAACCGTGTAAGTTAAATCTGCAATAACTGCACAAGAGTTGTTAAAGTTATCAGTGATGTGAGTATTCTTATTGCTCACAGTGTCTGCGTTATTTCTGCGTATGGAAGATGTCTCTTCTTGCAGTATTAAACCTGCTTCCCTTCAAGTGCCTCTGCAAGGGGAGCAGAAGTAAGCTGACAGAAACGTATTCTTTGGTGGTAAAGAAATGAAGAATAGAGCTGTGATTGCCTCAGGGGCTAACAGCAGGGACTGGATACATAGGAATTGCCTATGAGCACCGCATCCCTGTAATAGCAGCAACTCTGGGGGGCATATTCAGCTCTGCGTTGCATCCCTGATCAGCCTCGGACAGCAGAGGGTCATCAGGAGGCCCAGCATCTGTCTGGAATAAAGGTCCCTTTCTGTACCCCCATTCTGAGTTTCAGTTGGAGAAGGCTGGAGGGGTTAGCGGGCAACTAAGTACCGTGGCTTCTCCCCCTCTGCCCTCAATCTCTGTTCACTTCTCGCTTACATTCCGAGGCTGCTCCAGAATACTGCTTGGGATCCAGAATGCTATTTACATAAAAATCTCTAACCCTCTCTCCTGTTTTCTTATCACAGCAGATAGCATTGTTTTGCTTGAGTAATGCCCCAGGAAATTGTTCTACGTATATTTTCCATTAAAAGTAATAAGGGACCTTTCCTTAGAGCCTCTGGAACCTGCTCTTGAAGCTCTTTGCAACAGAAGGGAGGGGAGGGGGATTTTGTTTAGATTTTTTGAGCGTGATTTTTACAAGCGGATCAGGCTGATCCAACAGTATGCTGCCCGTGAAAAGGGCAGTCTCGCTCCCAGCTGGGCAGCCCTTCCCCGTCTTGTGTCGGCCACTGGTGTGGCCTTTCCCTGAGCTGATTCATTTCACAAAGCCAGCAGAAAATGTTCTAATATTTTTCGGGCGGTATTTTTGAGATGAAGTGGTGAGGGGAATCAACTCACTGAAAGGGCCTTTTTGGTCAGTAGTTGGGGCAGCATTATATGTCTTACCATCAAGAAAAGTAGCAGTCACCTTCTGAATACCCTCTGTTTTAAATATATTGATTTGTAGAAAACTAACTCTTTAATATTTTAGATAAATGGAAACATAAGCATCTCTCCAGAGTTTTATTTTAAGTGCAGTGATGATAGGTTTTATTATGACTGCTTATAAGCAGATACAATGACCATTGGGTAAATGCTTTTTTTAAAGTAAGGTATTTGCTTATGATGGAATCAATAATGAGCTGACAGAATGCCCAGCAAGTCTTTTTAAAAGTAAGCCCAAGCACAAAGGGAGTACACCTCTGACTTGTTCATTTTACTATTAATGTGGAAAATCAACTATCGTTATATTTAATTGTTTAAAAAAAAAAAATGATGGTATGACTTGGTTCTAGGAGATATCTCAAATATGATTTTTGGCCCTATTTTCTTTGAGATCTGATTTTTTTTTTTCTTTATTCTATTGTGTACTTGGCTGTATGCCTAATATGCTTTTATTGTAGTCATTAGGATTTCATCTGAAGCATAAGCATGCATGGATTTACAATGAATATACTTTTTTTTCCTACAGTGTTTATAGTTTTTTTCCTTTTTTCTTCTTTTTTTTTTTTTTCCTTGCCAAACCTTACCTTTGCCTTATCCCAAAGAGCAACAAAGTAATTGTACCTTAGTGCTTCTTTCAGTACAACTTAAAGGTAGATCTAGAAGGGCCTTTTCTTCATATTTAACAGCTACTCATATGGATTTCATTAGGAGGTAATGTATGTGTTTTTCTCTAAAATATGGTGAACAGAGCTTGCAGGGTTTTTAATGCTATTATTCACTTAATAGGTTACCTCTGTGTCACTTTGCAGGGGTTTTTTTTTGTCTGATTTTATGATTCATACGTCTTTTGGACTGTAAGCACTTAAAAGGTTTGCTGAGGCTTAAACATGTTAGTATAAGGCTTCATGTGACAGCTGAACCAGTGTAATGGTTCAATGCCGCAAAAAGTAGATTGTATACCCTTGTGCCTGTATATTTGTCTTGTAAATTAATTTGTACTGGT